TCCAGTCTATAAGTTACGACTAGCACTTTGAAGCGTATCCGGAGACTGATTGGTAGCCAGTGCAGCTCGCGGAGGATAGGTTTAACGTAGGTGTACCGAGGTGCACCCACAATCGCTCGCGCAGCTGCGTTCTGGACGAGTTGAAGTCTCCGAATACTCTTCAAGGGCTGCCCCATGTTATAGACTGGATGAGCAGTGTTCAAAAGCTATCCCTATCTCAGTGGTGAAATTCTATTTTTTTTACTACCAGTTCTGTGGGCATGGCTTGGAGGGCGTGGCAGGGGAAGGATACTGCAAAATCTCCTTTCCCTCCCCACTCTGGGGCCAGCCAGAGGTGGTATTTGCCGGTTCTCCAAACTACTCAAAATTTCCACTGCCATTCTCTAGAACCGGTCAGAACCAGCTGAATTTCACCCCTGCCCTATCTCAATGCCAAATACTTCAACTGTGTCTTTCAAATCTCCCGATAGTAAAGGGGAGTAAGTCCCACCGAGGTGGGATAGGATTTTGAATTTCCCTTTTTAGCCTTAAAGGCCTTTGGGAAACTCTCTGGTTTGAGGAACCTGCTTTTTTATGCCTAGTTCCTTTGGGATCTTATCCACCCATGTGGGCAGGGACCAAGTTTATGAATCCTTTCCATAGAATTACCACTTCCTGGTGGGGCGGTGAATCTGTAATCAGAAACTGTATCATCATTCCCAGTTCACATCTTTCAGTAATTTGTATGATATACTATCTGCTTAGGCACTGCATATGGGAAAGCAGGCTCCCAGAAGTCAGGGTAAAAAGATCAAAGGCCCTCTCAATCTGTTTTGCTGCAGTGATTGATATTTAAAAGCCAGCCTTGGCTTCCAATTGCCACCCATTCTATTTATTTCCCATCTCCAGTTTGGGTAAGGATCCATTAAGTATATATACAGTGCAATTCTACAAATTAAAACTTGCGTTGACTTTTAAATGAACTCTTAGTGTAATGTATTTTCTGGGCAGAGTGGGGTTCCAGTGAGTTCTCATGAGAATTGATGTTTTCAATGTCCAGCTAACATATGTTACAAAGACAAAAATTAGCAGGACTCCCAAATAATGGATACAGTACAAAATCTACTTTAACTGATGCCTGGAGGCATTGGTTAACTGAGAGATGATCAAGGGGTTAATTAATTTAATTGCCTTTGCAGAACCCTAAGGAAAAGTTCACGAGCCCAGCTTAAATAGTGGCCAATATGAATTCCCAGCATGGTCTGCTTTGATAATTTGACAAGATAAGAGTCTAATGATGTTTATGATTTCTAATCAGGTCCCAAATGATCACAGAAGCTTTATCTATTCAGGGTATTAAGTAGATAAACCTTGAGAATCTTAACTAAAAGTTCTAATATACTTACTCAGCCAGGTATATGCAGTTGTACACACCAGTCAAGATTATTTTTTCCATATTCTGTTTTGTAGGGTTTGCTTTAATAAGTATTTTTCACTATTCTATATTTTGATGTTTTCTTCTCCAAAACTTCATTCCTATAATAATTTAAGATTTTTAGCTTAAATTGAAGTAATTGTCTGATTTCCCCCCTCCATTTATATGTAAATATACGTATTTTAGTACTGTAGAATCTACTATGGTAATTGTCTCTAAGGGATTTAAAAAAAACTTCTCACAAGTTGTCCATCACAACTGTCTTGCTTCTTCATAATGTTTTTTGTCATAGTGGTTTCATATTCTTCATAGCGTCCTTTTCATCTTATGAGTCATAAGTCTAAGTATATTTATAATGAAGAGTGCCAATCCTCTGTCTGTATCCATTCCAAGTGATTTTAGATTAATTCTGTATCATCTTTTAAAGATTTACTCTCCAGATCATACCAACAACAGCTTTTCATCAAACCCTTCAACTCCTGTGGGTTCACCCCCTTCTCTCTCAGGTATTGTGGTTAAAATTATATTTTACCAGAAAGTTAATTTATGAAATAGCAAGAACATCTTTAAAATAATTGTTTTAAGCATGATCAGAAAGTTCAGTTATCTGAGAAACAATTTCAGACTGCCGCCTATTTAATATTTGGGGACTTAATAGTAAAATAAAAGTATTGCATGAAGATCTCTAGGAAAGTCTTATGCCCTACTGTACAACCGTGTAGGCTAGTTCCAGGGAGCAGACAGATATGTTAAGGTGTGCTTTATTACTCAAGGCTGAGCTGCATAGTAAACAACCCTGATGCTTGAACACTCAACTTGGTTTCTGAACACCCCACATGTAGACCATTTATTTTGTTTTCTGAATCCATGTATTAATGGCATAGACCCTGTAATGGTGAACCTATGGCACACGTGCCAGAAGTGGCACACAGAGCACACTGTGGGCATGCGCACCATCCGCAGCTGCTTTTCTGGTTTCCAGTGTGCTCATGCGTGCCGGCCAGCTGATCTTTGCACATGTCGGATCTCCAGAAACACAAAGACCAGCTGGCCAGTACACATGCACACGCTGGAAACCAGAAAACTAAGTGGTTGGCGTGTGCTTGCCAGCTGGTCTCCAAGTTTCAGGGGGGTCTGGCATGCACATGCATTCCTGTTTGGACATTTGGTGCCAAAAAGGTTCATCATCACTGACATAGACATTATACAATAGATTCATCAACCCATCCAGAAAGAAGAATGATTTCAAATACAACAATATGCAATTATTGCAACAATAATAAAGCAATAATAAGCACTGTGCTTACGTTCCCCCAAAGGTTTAAGGAAACAGAATATAGAATACATTGGGTTGGATCTAAAATGAATCAATATATTTGTCAGTTTGTCATGACACAGACATTTTAATTGGTTCAATCCTTTTGAGGAAATATGAATTGCTAAAAGGAAAGTGAGACTAGTTCTAATGTATGGTCTCTTCTTCCATTATTAAGTTCTTCCTATATTATAGTCCAACCTGTTCCAAGGGTGATTTCCTGGCAAAAACAAAGGATTCCTGCATAGTACTGGAGAATAAACGCCAAGGTTAAAGAGGTTGAATATTTAATTCATGAGTAAGCAAGACTTTAGGGATGTAGCAGACAGTCATAACATCATGTACCCTACATTTTCCAATCTAGCAAGCTCACAGCCTTACTTCCTGCAGTTCAGACAGGCAGGAAGAGAGGAGTTACTATCAGTTTTTATCTTATCAGCAAAAAGAATACCAATTGAAGTTCAAGACAGAAAAGTCTGTCTTGTGTCTGGAAAGCATTTCAATTTCATGAAGCAACGTTTATATGGCCGAGGGAGGGAGTGTGTGTGTGTGTGTGTGTGTGTGTGTGT